TTGTCACTGTCGGTTAGCAAATTAAAACATAAGTAAATATATGTTTATTTATGAAATAAATGAAATATATGTTTACTTATGAAAAAACATTACAGTTTTTTCATAGATATGTTTTTTCACAGAGAAAGGCAAAATGACTTCTGGGGATATCTCACTCACCAACAGACACTACACACTCTCAAACAAAAGCCCTAATTCTTCATATTTATTTAATAAACTGATTAGTGAACAGTGCCTTGTTAGAGACATGTAAGTATGTGTATATATATAGATATATATATATATGTATATATATACACATATACACACACACACATCTTAATAGTTTTATGAGTTCTTGGTTCCCATAAAGGTCTTGAACTTCTTTGCAAAGATATATTTTGTAAAAATATATTTTCTCTTTGTGGGAGACCAATAGTTTATATCAAAGCCACAGTGAAATATTCCTGGTCTGGGCCTATGAGTAACTTGTCCTGAGTCACTGAAGGTCAACATTCATTGACATGAGGCAATCAGACATTAATTAAACTAGAGTTTCTCCACTAAGGAGGAAAACATGTAGTTTGAACACATCTGATCTTGGAAATCACCATTGACTCATGAATTGCCTCAGTGGCCCAAAATTCCAGTCAATATCTACTAAAGAGTCAGCAAATTTATTTAAAAAGGTAAAAAAATAATTATTTCTTTCATACATTTGGATATTCTGTTTCACATTAAAATGAATAATGTTAATGCTCAGCATTTCTATAGGATATTAGTTTCCAAAGTTTTTCTTCCTCTCATAGCCTTTTTGGAAATCCTGTATGGCAATCCTGCAAGGTTTATGAATGCACCACATGGAGTTCTATGTGCTCAACATAGTAGCCATAGTAAGGCATGGTTTAAACCCAGCTTTATCTAGCCACAATGCTTATGCTCTCTGCATTTATATACCATGAGCTGGCGCTTTATAAAGTACTTTATTCTTATCTAATTATTTAATTCTCATAAAAACTCTAGAAGCCAGAAATAATTATTTTCCCACTTTACAGATGATAAAACTGAGGCACAGAGAGACCATTAACCAAGATCTTCAAATAATTAAGTAGCAGGTCCAGAAGTCAACTCCAGGTAGCTCAGCCTCGGAGTCTATGTTCTCAATCGCTGAACCTGCTTCCTGGTGAGGTTGTAAGAGTTAAATAGTAGAGTATGTACTCAAGTCTAGGACAAACTCCCACTCCTCTGAGTTCATACTTCTTACACACCTTCAGCATCTTTGTCTGTAAAATGGAAAGAAACCATACTGCATTTAAGGTGGATTATAAGTATTAAATTAAATAATCCATGTGAAAGCATATCTCAGCATAGTTACTAATATCTAGTTGATATAAAAGATATTAAATATTACTATCAGCTGAGACTTTTAGGAATATGCCCCAATTTACCCTCAAATTCTACTTTTGTCTTAAACGTTGGTCGTATTCTATTTGAGGGCTTAAGTGTTAGGCCCCGAAAGAAAAGTAAATCAATTAAATAATTACTTAATAGGTTATTTTGGGAGGGTCTCAACTTGAAATGGTAGTTTTGGGGAGTAGCAATGGCCAGAAGCTATTACTTCTTCTTTTTAGGAAAAAATCAAGAGAAAGGAACCTCTGGAAACCAGATAGAACTGCAGAAATGAGATAGACACCACCATTATCCTAATGCAGATTACTGCAATAGACTCCTAACTTGCCTCCCTTTTTCTACACTCTCTCTGTAGAATCTATTCTCAACACATTATCCAGGAGCTGTTGTCATGTGTAGAGGAACTGAGCTAATACCAGAAGCTAAGAGATGGGGCCCAGGGGAGTGAGAAGAATGAATGCCCCACCATCTCTCTCTTCTTGCTCTCCCACTTCCTGTTGGTACCAGTACTTAGTAAAATCCAAAAAAAGGACAGAGGGTGAAGGAGTTTCATTGAAACAGTCAAATAAGAATTAGCCTTCTGAAGAACAGAGCAAAGCAGAAGAGTGGAAAATGGATGTATCCAGAGAGGCAAACAAAATAAGCAGAACAGCCTGTCTTTTGTAAATGTTTCTAAAGCCTCTCAAAGATTTGGAGTAGAGGCAATCTCGCCCTGTAACCCATGGTGGTGACTAGGCATGGTGGTGACTAAGTCATGGATAGTGTTGCTCACAGAAGTATGGTGAGAAAATGAATCCATATCTAGACAAACTGTATTTCATTGAATTCTGTTGAAGATACTTTATTTCTCTTTCTAGAATTCAAGGGTTTAATGCTACTGAACTGCCACCAGATGGCTAGCTAGCTATCTCTCAACACACAGTCCACAGTAGGATGCCGTGGTGGATGCTCAGCATTGATATGATGTGCTCAGCAGTGGTAGCAGCCAATTCAGACCTGAAGAGAGGAAGATGTGTAATGTCCCCAGTGACAAGGGGACATCTCAAAAACCTGTGATCTTTGTTCTGTCTGATTGATGTCCTCAAGTCTCCAATGAAATTGCCTAGCATAAAATAAAGGAGCAGCTGGGGCTAGCAGGAGGCATGACAGTCAAAGTGCTGGATTCCTTCATGGCCAACCACAGTTCATGTCTCAGACCCAGTGACTTGAAAGTCATCTAAGGTGCATTTGTGTGCATGCCCAATATCCCAGGAGAAGAAGAGAAGAGAGGGGGTTGTGCTATGGTCATCCCCCTTAGTGATTGATTTATCCCTTTCCCTCTCACGGTCTCTGTCTCTTGCCAGAGAGCATACATGCCCTGTGGCAAAAACCTTAAAATAATAAATAAATAAATAAATAAGGGAGCAGCTATGGGCAGCAGTAAAAAAACACTGTCACAGAAACAGCTAAAATACAGAGGACAGAAAAAAATGTGGCTAGAGTTTCACATTATATTTTCAAATCTGTTTTCACATGCACCCTGTCTATATCACTGTTGTTTTCATGACACCATAAAGCAGTTACAATCGTCTTCAACTGATAAAATAAAAAATGAAGTGAATGTCACCATGTAACAGTGCATGGGTTTAAGAGTCAGTGGTCTTGAAGTAGTTTCTGAAGGTTTCGTTATATTTACGGCATAGAAGCATCAGGGCTGATCAAGAATGGTTACTGTCTGTTCACACCTGCTGGTTAATAAGGATAACTTTTAAAGATTTCTACCAAAAATCATTAACATATAAACATTTTTCTCAGAGAAAAAATAAGTATGTAGAAAAAAAAAGTATGCTATAAAATTCAGTCCTTGACGGTGTGTATGTCTTTATATTTCTTTTCTCACAGTTTCAACTTATTTTTGTTAACCAAACTTTACATGGAAATTCTACCTATTCCATTCTATATGAAATAACTGCCTATAATCACATAAGAGAGAGGAGTATTATACAGAAGCATTAATAAGATCGTGTTTCCTAACTTATTATTAAGGAAAACTCATTTGAGGACTCCAAAAATGTTACTGATGTAATCACATCTCCTGGCTCCATGCTTAAAATTCAGCTGCACATTGCTTAGTCCTGGGACTCGGACTTCTGGGAGGATGATGCCAGCTACCCAGAAACAGTAATTAGCTCAGCGAATGAAGCTACCTTCTGGGAGCTCTGATCACCACCCCCAAGTAATCCGTGGAATGGCCTGGGAATAGTACTGATAAAGGCTGAGCGCTCATCACTAATCAGCTCCTGAAAACTGCCACTGCAGTAGGAGGGAGTGTTCCTGGCAAGTGAACAGCTTCCCGCAGGGTGGAGGGCGTGCCCTGCTCAGTGTCAGACTTTTCAGCTGAGTGGACAATCTGGCTTAACAGTGGGATGCTGGGGGCAGGAACACTGGGACGCCACAGCACTCCCGGTCCTGTTGGTAACTTCATTTCCCAAACGTTCATAATTAAACAGCTTTTATTGAAGTAATCAGCATGAGCTCCTTAGCTATGTTTTTGCAACCAGTATTGTGTTTATGGAGCCAAATATTAGCGACTTTGATACTGAATACCTCCTCGGATGTGTTAACGTTGGCATGGTCTCTAGATTCTGAAGATGCCGGACTGCCTCAGCACAGCCTCCCCTCCATCAGCCCCCCATTCCCACCCCCAAACCACAGGGCAGCAGTCCCCTTGTAAGACTCACTCACGATATTTCTCCTGCAGATCCCAGGGAATGGTGTGCAGTTGAAACAGGGTGAAATATGAGCTCAAAGTGTCTGTCGGACCAGAAGTTTTCAAAGAAAACATTTCTTAAATCTTATGTTCGCTGCTGTTTCAGCAGGCCAATTAGATTGGATGGGACTGGGGGGAAACTGTCGCCAGTCACTGCAGCAGGGATAGCAAACAAGACTTA